ACTATACTTCACCTCTACCTGTGATATATTGTTGCCAAGGAAACGAACGGATTGTTGAGTGGGCAGACTGTGGATTAGATATCGGCAAATCGTCATCCGACAACCTCAGGTTTGGCTGTTCCGTAAAAGTGTAAATAGCTGTTAATCAAACCAACGGCGATATTAATATTATATGAGAAGTGTACCCAGAAGACTGGTTGTTAGAGTCGTCGTGCTGACTCCAAAGAGCTTATAGTTCTTCCACCCCGGAATTGCAGGCATTATATGTAATCACCTCCACCCTCTAAAACACTTCGCTTGGTGAACAAACTGCCAGCCTTGCCCCACCATCAAGGACCTTCCCAACTTCACCAGGATTAATGACCACAGCCGCATCTCTCTTTCACTATAAGATCCTTCCAGCGCAAGCTGCACCGACATATTTACTTTTAGAGCTGACAACATCTTGAGCTCCTCTGCGAATACCACCACGACCGTCGTCGAATCGTTGACGCCATGGCGCTATCCATCGCCGAGCTGGACGCGACCGTCCGAACCTTCTATGAAGGCCGAGGAGAGCAGGTTAGTTAGCAGGCATCTCCTGGCACCCATAATCGTCTCGAAATGGTCACTAATATATTGATGGATAGCAAAAAGCTGCTCAGGCTACGATGAACCAGGTAAACCGTTTCCCCGCCTTCTGGAGCTTCGGCCAGCAGCTAATATCCCGGGATAGTTCAAAGAAGATCAAGATGCATGGCTGCTTGTTGATAAGATACTTCAGGAGGCCACATACCCACAGACAAAATGTATGGCCCCAGCCCCTTATGATGGAGTTATACCAGGGCGCGGCTAACGGATATAGACCTTGGCTTACAGGTGCTCGACAATGTGATTATGACGCGTTGGAAGGTCCTGCCAAAGGAGCAGTGTCAAGGTTTGCCTTCTCTACTGGTCTTTCATTCGGCTCGACGCTGACTGTGCCCAGGTATCCGCAACTTTGTGGTTAACTACATCATCCAATGCTCCTCATCGGAAGAGTCGTTGAAGACGCAGCGAACCCTTCTCAACAAGCTCAACCTCGTCCTTGTCTCTATTCTCAAGCAAGAATGGCCTCACAACTGGCCTACGTTTATCAACGAGATCGTTTCGTCCTGCCGTACGAGCCTGTCTATCTGCGAGAACAACATGTCTATACTACGCTTGCTTTCAGAAGAAGTGTTCGACTACTCGGCCGATGCCATGACATCTACGAAGACCAAGAACCTGAAAAGCACCATGTGCCTTGAATTCTCGTCGATTTTCTCGCTGTGCAACGAAGTTTTGACTACGGCAAATCAACCTAGCCTCATCAAGGCAACCCTCGAGACACTACTTCGATTCTTCAACTGGATTCCCCTGGGGTATATATTCGAGACGCCGATTATCGACACCCTCCGTACTCGATTCCTAAAGACACCTGAGTTCCGAAATATTACACTAAAGGGCCTCACGGAAATCGGTGGTTTGAAGACCGAGGGCCACGGCCTGTACGACGAGAAGCAGGTACAGATGTTCACCGAGGTCTTAACCACCATTTCGGAAATTATTCCCCTGTCGCTGGATTTGAAGTCTACGTACAGCTCCAGCAACTCAAAAGATCAAGAGTTTATCCAGAACTTGGCACTGTTCCTGTGCAACTTTTTCTCTGTGCACCTCAATCTCATCGAAAACTTACCGAACCGAGACTTCCTCACACATGCACACTTCTATCTTATTCGCATTTCCCAGATAGACGACCGCGAGATTTTCAAGATCTGCCTAGAGTACTGGACCAAGCTTGTTCAGGAATTATATGAAGAGATGCAGTCGTTACCGATTACGGACGTGAACCCCTTAGTCAACATGGGCGTTGGCGGTCTGTCCAATGGTGGGGCACTGAACCCGAACGTACTGGCGAACTACCCATTACGAAAGCACAAGTATAACGAGGTGCTTTCAAACTTGAGGACAGTCATGATTGAGAAGATGGTTCGACCGGAGGAGGTTTTGATCGTGGAGAATGAGGAGGGAGAGATTGTTCGAGAATTCGTCAAGGAGAGCGACACCATTCAACTATACAAGACAACGCGCGAGTGTCTGGTTTACCTCACGCATTTGGATGTCGTTGATACCGAAAATATCATGACGGAGAAGCTGTCTCGACAGGTTGATGGCAGCGAATGGTCATGGGCCAACTGCAATACGCTATGCTGGGCTATCGGATCGATTTCAATGGCCATGAACGAAGAGACTGAGAAACGTTTCTTAGTTACAGTCATTAAAGACCTCCTTGGCTTAACGGAAATGAAGAGAGGGAAGGACAACAAGGCTGTCGTTGCCAGTAATATCATGTATATTGTCGGACAGTACCCACGGTTCTTGAAGGCTCACTGGAAGTTCTTAAAGACTGTGGTGAACAAGCTCTTCGAGTTCATGCACGAATCGCACGAGGGGGTTCAGGATATGGCATGCGATACATTTATCAAAATTGCTCGACAATGCAAGCGTCACTTTGTTGCCCTTCAGCCAGGCGAACAAGAGCCGTTTATTGAGGAGATCGTGAGGACAATGCGGAAAATTACTTGCGACCTATCTCCTCAGCAGGTCCATACATTCTACGAGGCATGCGGTTACATGATCGCTGCCCAGCCACAAAAGAATGCCCAGGAGAGGCTGATTGCTGAGCTGATGTCATATCCAAATGCTGCTTGGGACACCATTATCGGTCAAGCTACGGCAAATCCAGCAATTTTGCAAGACGGAGATACGATTAAGGTCATCGGCAATGTCATGAAGACCAACGTGTCCGCCTGCACATCTATCGGAAGCTATTTCTACCCTCAAATTGGAAAGATCTACCTCGATATGCTTTCCATGTACAGAGCGACAAGTCAGATGATTTCGGAGGCTGTGGCTAGGGATGGTGAGATTGCCACCAAGACGCCCAAGGTCCGTGGCCTTCGCACGATCAAGAAGGAGATCTTGAAGCTTATCGAGACCTACGTCGAGAGAGCGGATGACCTCGAGATGGTACGCACCAACATTGTGCCGGCCCTATTAGACGCCGTCTTGGTCGATTACAACCGCAACGTGGCAAACGCGAGGGACGCTGAAGTCCTGAAGGTCATGTCCATCATCATTCAGAAGCTCTCCGGCCTTATGGAAGATCAAGTTCCGGTCATCATGGAGAACGTCTTCGAGTGCACCCTAAACATGATCAACAAGGACTTCTCTGAGTTCCCAGAGCACCGTGTGGAATTTTTCTCGCTGCTCCGCGCCATCAACATGCACTGCTTCCCTGCACTCCTCAAGTTGGATAACCGGCAATTCAAGTTCGTCATCGACTCATGCATGTGGGCAAGCAAGCACGACAACCGCGAGGTTGAGTATGCAGGCCTCAACATGTGCCTCGAGCTTATCACAAACATGGCCGACACTGACCCGCAGACTTCGAGCGCTTTCTTCCAGCAATTCTTCCTTCCTATTCTCCAGGACGTCTTCTTTGTTCTCTGCGATAACGACCACAAGGCCGGGTTCAAGTCGCAGTCGACACTTCTATCGAGAATGTTCTACTTCGTGCACCCAGGTGACGGCACCCAACCTAAGATCCAGGGTCCCATCTATCCCGCCGACCAAGCACCAGCAGGCACCAGCAACAAGGAGTTCCTCGGCGGATTTGTGGCGAACCTTCTGCAGACTGCATTCACAAACTTAGCTCCGTAAGTCCCACCATCTCCCCCTTTTCCATCGCACCTACTAACCCAGCTTCACAGTCTGCAAATCAAGTCCTTCGTCGAGGGTCTCTTCACCCTCAACCACCTGACCGATAAGTTCAAGCTCAGCCTCCGCGACTTCTTGATCCAGCTCAAGGAGTTCTCGGGCGACAACACGGAGCTCTACGCCGAAGAGAAGGAGCAGCAGGAGAGTGCCGCGCGGGCCGCCGAGCGCGAGCGCCTGTCGAAGGTTGGTGGGCTCTTGAAGCCATCTGAACTCGACGAGGATGATGAGCTATAAACGGACGGATTGTGGAGACCGCAGGACCGCTCACCGCCGGCGAGCTCTGACAAGAGCACTACTTTGTCCTCTGCCGACCGGGGAGCGCTTCTGCGGTGGTGGGGTAGGGAGTGCGTAGGGTAGCGATATTCGATAGATCCCCCGGACTCTCGATGGTCCGGAGGGGGTACTGCTCTATGATAATGAGGGCGTTGATAAAGTTCAGCTTTGATTTTTGAGTCTGAAAAACAGGGGGTTGATTTTTTCTGCCAGGGCCCCGATGATTTTTTATTTTTCCTTTTCTTAGAGTTGATTTGGTGGGCAGCGAGGAGGGGGCCTGGTTTGGTGGTGGTGGTGGTGGTGGTGAGGAGGGGGAGGGGGGGTTCACGATGGACGGATGGATGAAGCCGATTCTCTTTTACGGTGTATGTAGTGCCTGGGAAAGATAATTTGCCGGCATAGTGGTAGTTGAGGTAGTAAATGATACCGTTGGTTGACGTTTTATCGTCGATGCAATTTATTATGAGGCTGTTTTTATGTTTACTCGTGCGGTACAGTTGGAGTGATAATGGTGCCTCGGAATTATGTGTTTATGGTCGACTCGGTTTATTATAGCCTTGGGTTATTATTTTACTCGTATACAGCGATATTTAACGTTGTGGATGATGCCAATATAAAGGTGTCATTTATCGACTCGATATATCTTATGCCTGATTTATCTTTCTCTTTATTTTTAAATTTATATCTATTTTCCTATTTTGCCAAATAATAACCGCCAACCTGTTCAGTGAAATACCAAGTTACTATCTTATATGACCCTCAAGAAGCAAAGCTCATACTGCCATAGTATTGCCAGTTTCAATCCCTCGTAAGTTAATCCCAAGAGAATAGATCGAGTAGAGATGAGATAAAATGGTCATTGTCACGGGTTGCGTGTGCGGGGGTGTGTGCCCACTCCCGCAGTGGTATACATAGCATCCTAACCCATCCCTCCCATCAAAAACGGATCCGAACTGGTGTATCGGTAACATATCCGCCTCTCATGATCACTGATCAGAAGCCCGCGGTTGCGCGGGGTTCGACTCCCCGGTTCGGAATTCTTCAGAACCATCTACTCTCAAGTAGATAAGCGTCCTATTTTTTTGCCCTTTTTTCTACTTTTTCTATACACTGCCTTTATATTCTGGTATTTTTCCTCTTCTTCAAGACTTCTGGGTTTAATCTGCACTTGGAGCGGGGGGAGAGGGAGGCTGTTTTTTTTTGTGTGCGACCCCGCCAATGCTCCTCAAGAAAAAATAAAATAAAATTCTGATGTGCTTAGCAAGGCTGAGGATATCACGTGCACATGACAGCGCTTCCTCAAACAGCCTCCGTTTGTTGCTTGAGGGAAGCGGGAGGTACAAAGACTTAGGTACTCATCTTGGCAGCTGCCACCCAGCCGCCACCCAGCCTTCCCAGCCTTCTTAAATATCCTAAATATAGCTCCGTATGAAGCGAAGCACGATAACTCTATGATGGGATGATGGGATGATGGGACGATGGGATGGATGCATGGTCATCACGGTAATCACGGTAGTCACGGTAATCATTACCAATCTCGCTCATTGTCAATGGCGCCTGCTGCGCCTGGGGATATCTAGTTGAATTAGTAAAAAAAATAGTAAGATTGCTGCCAGCGAATCCTTCGTCCTTCCATCCTTCCGTGAGGCCATTTGCTGTATCTGCTGCACAGTACAGAGTAGCCCTCACATCAGCTTACGACTGCTTTCGGCGCAGACGTCAATTGTTCCGGTTTCTCCGTTCACGTTGCATTAATAGTGGCTTGGCTCTGGTATGTGGTGGTAGTGGTGGTACCAGTCCTGTGAACTCCGTCAACACACAGCAAATACAGATACAGCGTAGATTTATTTACTAAAACACCAACACCAACAACAACAAATGCATATTATTTTATTAATTCCTCCTCTAAAAATCCAATTTATTGTACCGAATTTACCCAACCATACAGATTATTCATAACCCTTTCCCCCGTATCCAACTTCCTAACTAGCAAATACCACGTTCCTACTATCCACTACAACGGCGGCCAAGACGCCGGTGTGGATGTTGTGGGTGTCCCGGTGGGTACCAAGTGTAGCATGTCACGCCCTGTACTCCCAGGGAAGGCTGTGTCGGCTCGGCGGTATGTTGATAACCAACCAAACCTCAAACCTGAGACTTGGGTCTCCCCAAAACCAAACTCAACCTCTTCTACTATTATGCTGTGCAGTTCTCTCGTCCCTCTCTTAAACACATCCTTACTTTGTTAATATTCTCTCCCATCGTTTTTACAGCATCTATTATTCCTTTGTCGCTCGTTAAATCAAAGGCTTCGAACGCCTGAAACAGACAGACCCCTAGAGAGCGCCAGGACCACATCTTTGCTGAAGATAAAAAGCAACCAACAACACGAGCTGCATGACCGGTACATAGGTGCTATTGAATCGCCCTGGGGTTGGGCTATCCGTCCGTTTCTCTCGCCGAGTCGGACGAGTGTATATAGCGTCACATAATCAGCGTCATGAGGTTATTAAGATGCATTGCGGCGGCCATCGTCAGCGGCGGCTTCTCCCATATCGCCCAAGGTATGTTTACCACCAGCCGTCATTCGCCGGGCAGCTCCTAACACAACGATAAAGCACATTCAATCAAGCGAGCTCCTCTCTCATATCTCTCAATTGTCGATGAACCAGTAATTCACACACCATCGCATCGTGTACATGCGTATTCATCTTTCGATCTCTCATTCCATCTGCATGGCCGGCAGCAGTATATCAAGCTGTCGCTGGCTCCCAACGACGACGTCATAGCCGAGGGCGCAACGGTGAATTATATTGGGGCCGATGGGCAGGTGCGGGAGGTGGAACTGATAGAGCGGTCGGATCATAGGGTCTTCAAGGGCCATGCCTGGGTTCGCACTCACGAGGATACACAATGGTCCCATGCGGGGTGGGCGAGAGTGGTGATACACCGGGACGGCGTGGATCCACTTTTTGAGGGTGCGTTCAGGATCGATGGAAATCATCATCATATTCACCCGAGGAACTCATACGTCGCTACGAAGCATGAGTTGGACCCATATGTGGAGGATGACCGGGAGGACATTATGGTTGTCTGGAGGGACTCCGATATCACGACCGACGAACCCAACAGAGGAGAGCTCAAGAGGGATTTGAACACGGGGTCGTGTCTGTCGGATGATCTGGCATTCAACTTGATGCCAGAACATCCAGTGTATTCTCAGGGGTATTCTCAGTCTACTATCCTGAGGAAGGGCGAATCCTTCTGGGGATCCATCTCGTCAGCCTCGATATTCGGCAGAGATATCGACCCTTCCGCGACCCTGCCTGGAAACGGAGCGGGTGTCAACCTCCTGAATACCATCGGAAACCCGGCCGGCTGCCCCACGTCTCGCAAAGTCGCCCTGGTTGGAATCGCGACGGATTGTACATATACTGGCTTTTTCAACTCGTCGTCGTCAGTACGCTCCAACATCATTACACAGATGAACTCGGCGTCGGTGCTGTACGAGGAGAGCTTTAATATCTCTCTCGGAATCCAGAACCTCACAATTACCGACAGTGCGTGCCCAGGGGTCTCGCAGGCCAACACACCGTGGAACAGGGACTGCAACTCGGGTCTCCAGATCCAAGACCGCCTCAACCTCTTCTCGGCCTGGCGAGGCGCCAGCCCAGACACTAATGCCTACTGGAGTGAGTCTACCCTCTCGAAATTGACAAATGGCTTCTAACATATCAAGCTCTCCTTACAACCTGCGGCACCGGCTCGGCCGTCGGTCTCTCATGGCTCGGCCAAGCCTGCGTCAACACCGCGCAAGCCTCCACCCAAGAAGGCTCCAACGACACCGTGTCCGGCGCCAATGTCGTCGTCAAGACCGACACCGAATGGCTCGTCATCGCCCACGAAGTCGGGCACACCTTCGGCGCCGTGCACGACTGCGACTCCACCACCTGCGCGGACGGCAAAACCGTCGCAGCCCAACAATGCTGTCCCCTCTCCACAACCTCCTGCCCTGCCGGCGGCAAATACGTCATGAACCCCTCGACCAGCCCGGGCATCACCAACTTCTCCCCCTGCAGTATCGGAAACATCTGCTCTGCCATCGGCGGGCAATCCGTCAAGACGAACTGTCTAACCAGCAACCGCAACGTCCCCACCATCACCGGCTCGCAGTGCGGCAACGGCATCGTCGAGATGGGCGAGGACTGCGATTGTGGCGGCGAGACGGGGTGCGGGGATAACCCCTGCTGTAACCCGACGACGTGTAAATTCAAGACCGAGAACAACGCCGTCTGCGACCCGTCTAATGAGGATTGCTGTCTCTCAACCTGCAAGTTCGCCACCTCTGGAACCGTTTGCCGTGCCTCCACCGGGGAATGCGACCCCCAAGAGACCTGCTCGGGAACCGCGGCGTCATGTCCAGCTGATGTACACGCAGACGAGGGCTCGGGCTGCGGCGCCAGTGGCGAGGGACTCACCTGTGCCAGCGGGCAATGCACGTCGAGGGATAAACAATGCAAGACCCTCATGGGCCCACAATACTACCAATGCAGCGACGACGGGTGCCAGCTCTTCTGCGCCTCCGACGCCTCACAATATACATGCGACGGCCTGACCCAGAACTTCCTCGACGGAACGAAATGCGGCGGCGGCGGAAAATGCAGCAACGGCGTCTGCAAGGGCTCCACCCTCGGCGGCCGCATCAAGGAGTGGGTTGATCAGCATAAACCCCTTGTTATCGGCCTCTCCGCCGGAGTGGGTGGGTTATTGTTGTTGGCGATTCTTAGCTGTATATTCAGCTCCTGTAAGCGTAGGAGCAGGAAACGCAATTATGTGCCCCCGCCGCCGACTGTGAGGGGCGGGGCGGGCTGGGTGCCGCAGGGGCAGGGCAGGGGGTATGCGCCTGTGCCGGCGCCGCCGGTGATGCAGCAGAGGGGGATGGGAGGGCCGCAGGTGCCGATGGGGCAGCCGCCGCAGTATGAGTATGGGGCGGGCGGGCAGGAGTATGATGGCGGGGCGTGGAATGTGCCGCAGAGGGCGTATGGGGGGCCGCCTGTTAGATATGCGTAGTTCTGGCGAGTCCGGTTAAAGGGTCTTTGTCTAGTTCTTGTTGTTGTGGTCTTGTTTTTGTTGTTTTTGCGAAAATAGCATTGGGATTGGGGGGATGGAAGGTTGGGTTGGGATTTTTAATCCGGGGTTTGCATGGGATAGGATGGGGGTTTATTATTACATATTGTTGGGGGATGATAGATGTCCACGGCCTTTTGTATATGATGGATGAGGTGTGATGAATACCCACGAACGAATTACCTAACTTGTCGTACTTGTCATCGAATGCCTGATCGTCTCGTGTCTTGTGTTGTGTAAAGCCCAGAACCCTCTTCAACTCCAGACTCTGAATCACCAACTCCAAGCCCCTAACTCACAACCCGCAAATATATACTCCAGCCCCTAAGCCCAGATCTCCAACTCCAGCTCCAAACTCCCATACCCATACCTAGATCCGAACTCCAAACCCTCGCTTGAACCAAAACACCCAAATCCATGCACCATCCACTCCCTCACTCCTTGCTGACCCTCCCCGACCGCCTCGACTTCGCCTTCTTCGTCTTCCGCGGCGCATCTTCGTATCCACACAGCAGCTTCGTGAAGTGCAATCGCGTCGAGGGGATGGTCTATCATTTCGTCAGTCTTTAGTCTAGCTCAGTCCGCTTTTGTCTGCTGCTTCCCCTCTTTGGCTGGGGGGTGGGGGGGGGAGGTGAGGGGGGGAAATGGGGAAAAAAGGGGAGGGGGGAAGACGAACATCCTGCCTCGCCTGCGCATGCATCATCAACAGCTCGGGACAATCCAATATCGTCGCCGCCCACCTCCTTCGTTCGACCGCCTCATAGCTATCATCCGTATAACTCACTTTCCTACACACACATCAAATTAGCATCTCATCCTTCTACCCCCTCTCCCAAAAACCCCAAAAAATTAACAAGAACAGAGACACGAAAAAACATACTCTTCCCCCCCCCTCCCACCCCCCTCCCCC